TCGAACGAACGCGCCGGAGATTCGAGATTAACATAATACGAGAAAGAGGGAGCTTGTATGAAAATGGCCTCCTATAAAAGAGAAAAAACTGCCCGAGGATCCGACAAATCAACCCTATAGGTCATCCCTTACTCATTCCATCTTTCTCTTCCTTTTTTTCTTGGGATGTATGTTTATGTATAAAAGAATAAAAAATCCCTGGGATCGTACAGTCATATAAATATTAAAAGTACAACAAAGACTTCTCATGTGTCCCCCCCGTACTTCCGAACACCCCCCTGTTTAAGTCTATTAAGTATATTAAGTTTATCAAGACCAAATTTTTTACGAGAAAGTCCCCGAGTATGTCTCAGTTATTAAAAAATAACCCTTTCAAAAGGTGAAATCCACCCCCCCCCACATCGCAAGACATAATAATGCCTTGAAGACATGGAGGAAAGAGAGCTTAATAAATTCCTCGAAAGTTTTCCCCCGGTTTTATGACAAATTAAACGCTGTTGATTAAAAAATGACATTATTAAAAAAGTAGGAAAGGTTTGGGGTATGAAAGGATATTAAACCATGAGGGGGAGGAGGTAATGACGTAAACCGTTACCTGAAAATCATAAAAGATTAGGAACAACAAATACTATATAACTTATACTTAAAAACCTGTTTATAATTTTTTGATCAAATCTTGAAAGTAGTTTTCCCCTTTCAAAATTTTCGCTACTGATTTTTTTAGCCGATTAGCACAACCTTGAAAGCTTTAAATATTAACTTTTAACGTAGAGAACTCCAATTCTTTAACACTTTTAAGAACTTTTAATTTGGATGAAATCCAGAGGAGCTACGATTTTTTAGATAGAACAACCGGAAACGTAAGATTAGAAAAAAAAAGACTCCGGCTGGCCCAGCACAATTTTTTTAATGCTTTTTATTTCTACAAATATGCAGTATGATTATTTACAAAGTAGTTATGAAATAGTACATGCATGGATCGCAATCCGTCTGCCGGAGGTCGTTGTTAAGAGAAAAAGAATAAAAAGAAAAAATAATAATAATGAACAAATAATAATAAAGAGACAAGACTTGGAGCGAGGTTATAACATTATTCACTCTAGCATAGAGCATACACACAACAAATAGTTAAACATACTTATAATGTGTGTACATACTTATGTATGTATAAGTAAAAATACATATAATAAAAAAACAGAGGGGAAAAGTCTTAATCTTAAAGCGACAAAAATTCGGATATAATAAAATCATATAATATATAAAGGAAATTGGAGTGAATTGGAAGGGTCAAAAATTGAATTACATAATTCGGTCTAAGCTCCAGGCGTGGCGATTGTACTGAGTGAGCGCCCGTGCATCTGAGCCCTGCAACAGATTTAACAGAGTGTTTTTGGAGAGGGTAAAAGATCCCAAGTGCAACAACCTGATCTAGTCCAATATTGTACATTCAGCTATAAAATGCAATGATGTTTCCACACTGAGAACTGCAAAGGGTACATGATCCCTTCTTTTTCTCTTTGCTATAAAATTCCTTATTTCAGGGCTTTAACACAGTTTCTCCGTTCAATGACGTCAAAAGGGGAGTAGCTAACCATGTTTCGCTGTTTATTGACGTTATATTCATACCGTTTAGGCTGGTCATTTCAGTCAATGACGTCAGAGTAGGCGTGGCAAATAGATTTATCCATTCAATGACGTCATAGTTGTAATGGCTTAAACATGGCGAGCAATTTCATGGCTCCATACTGTTTTTCGTTAACCTTGTTATTCTAATTCTATTCTATTAAGTCAAAATGTTCAGCTTCTAACCTTGTAATTCCATTAATGACGTTAGTATGGGCGTGGCTAACAAGTTTTGCCATGCAGTGACGTCATAGCCGTACTAGCTAACCTTGGCGTGCAAGTTCATTACGCCATACTGATTTAGATTAACCATTTTAAATCCATTAGATTTCGTGGTCCGATTGACCAAATAACTTCTTTCAATTAATTAATTTTTATGTAAGGTATTGGTTGAGATAAAAAAGTAAGTGTCACGAGCGGGATTCGAACCCACGGCCTTCGGCTAAATACGCCGGCTGCTCTACCACTTGAGCTATCGTGACTTCGATCCACTCGGAAATCAACTTCCTATCTCAATCCACCCTTCGAATTTTCCCTCTTTTTTGCCATTTTTCAACCATGATCGTTTTTATTCCATTCAATGACGTCTCGAAAGTCGTGCTGGTTTAGCTGTGGTTGTGAAATTCGCCAGAAACTTTTTTTTAATATATATAATTAGATTTCATCAAGACAAATTGATAATTAGGTAGATAAATAGAAAGAGTTAACAAGTACCTATTTAAGTACCTAACAACCTGGTACAGAACAACACTCGATGATGAAAAAAAGCCATCTAGTTTAATTATGATTTTCTTGTCAAATCTTCTATAATTTTTGATCGTCAAACTTTTTTTAAAGGCTTGACGTGCCGGGGTGTGAAGAATCGGATGAAAAAAGGTGGGCCAAGCGGGCCGGAAAAACGACAAAAGTCCAGCCCAATCAGGCCGTCCTCCCTCCAAGACGTTCTGCACGGATTGAGACGGTTAAAAAAAAAATCAAGGGAAAAAGTAAAACAAGAGAAGTTATTACTTAAGATCTAAACTTGATTATAAATTATATATATACAGGGTGAATTGCTACTCGTGCTACAAACTTCTCCAGTAGATTCTTCACCCTAAAATGAACAAAAAAGTTCATATTGTCCATGGTCCGATTCTCAACCATTTCAGAGTAATTTCGCTTTTTATCGATTTTGAAAGATATCACGTCCTGGCGTCGGAAAATCGTGATATCTTTTAATCTAAACATTTCTCT